AATTTAAGTTTTACCATACCTATATCTAATGTAAAAACTAAAAACGTATTGCAGGCTTTTAGTTTTATCTTAATTTGAATGGTGATGAAAAACTGCACCCCTCTTAAGTTAATAGTATGACCTTCGTCTCCTGTGACATTTAAACTATTCAAAGCGTGCTTTCTATTGGCTGCGCTTCAATTAATAAGAAATGCCCGTTTCCAGTGTCAAAATAAAGCTTTTAAGTATAAAGTTCTGTGTGGCCACTTGCATCTGGTATTTCTGTAAATTAACGCAATACATTTTTCTTTTTTGATTTCTCAACAACGAAGATTATCGCGGCTTTTATTTCAGACATATTAGAACGTTTTGTGTTTTAATTTTAATAATAACTAATACACATGGCTTTTTTAATATTGCTTTTATTTGGCCCTTAAACCGTTCCATTAGTAATACATAGATACATATAAAAAATAAAACACAGCGTACAAAATGACAAACATAGTACATCATTTTTACAGCAAAAATGAAGCTGGATTATGATGTAACAAAACAGGTATAAATGGTACTAAACAGTTATGCATACTGATTGCAAAATAACAAAATTCTAAAAAGTCTAAAAACAGCATTCAAAATGAGGTAAATTGAGTGATCTGTATTCAATAAGCACCATAAGGCGGGACTGAGCATGCCATCTGCAATACTACTATAAATAATCCATGCACATGCACACAGTGATAAACCTCTGCCAGAGTCCAGCTGTGGTTTGCATTAGGAATTTGCTCCACTGAAATACTCATTGAAATATGTGAGTGTCAAATAATCCCCACAATCACAAAATAACTTCAGTAAATGGAAACTATTTAAACAAAAAGAGTTAACATACACTACTGTTCAAAAGTTTGAATTACATTTTTTTTTTTTAAAGAAGTCCCTTATGCTCACCAAGGCTGCATTTGTTTGACCCAAAATACAGTAAAAACAGTAATATTGTGAAATATTATTACAATTTAAAATAACTGTTTTCTATCTGAATATATTTTAAAATGTAATTTATTACAGTGATGCAAAGCTGAATTTTCAGCATCATTACTCCAGTCTTCAGTGTCACATGATCCTTCAGAAATCATTATAATATGCTGATTTGCTGCTCAAGTAATACTTCCTATTATTATCAATGTAGACAAACAGTGAAAAAACAGTGCTGCTTAACATTTGTGTTCAGCATTTATTTGAAATAGAAATCTTTTTAACATTATACATGTCTTTACTATCACTTTTAAATCAAATGAATGCATACTTGCTGAATAAAAGGATTAAGTCCTTTAAGAAAAAAAAAAAAATCTTACTAACCCCAAACCTTTGAACGGTAGTGTATGACTGAAGTTTCCTTAAAAGGATAAAAACAGAGGCACAAGATTAACAAATGTCTCAATCTGAAAGTCTCATGTTCAGTCAAGTTAACAAATCTTCGTTACACACACACACACACACACAAATCACATACATTAAATTATTTGGGTAACAACTCAGAATCAATCACTCAGAAACAGCCAAAACATTTAAAATATTAAACAAAACAATTTAAAAAAACATTTTAGTTGGTCCTTCTCAGTACATACAACTTTTCTCAGGCTGTTCAGTTGTTGTTGCTACATCTGATGTCTGGAATCTGGTCTGCAAACGGCTGCATTGTCCACCAGTTGTCCGATACCTGGTCTAGAGAGTTTTGACCATTATTACAAGCACCTGACACATAAAAACTGTAAATTGTTCATATTCTTTCTGTACACAATATTTGTATACCCATATTTGTAGAAGGATGGACCCCAAATGCTTGCTGTGGTTCTCTTTGTGATCCATGGGCACAGGTCTCCTCATACTCAGGGTCATGCTGCTCTTCTTTGATTGGCAATTTTTTGGCATCCTCTAGAATAAACAATGACAAATTACGTTGGTTAACAACATATATTTTGTTATACACAGTCTTCAATTGTGAATCTCTTCACCTTTGGCCAGAGTCAGATCAAATGTGTAGGTTGTCTCTTGGATCTCTTGAGTCCTCACCACTCCCTTCATTTGATCCCTGAGCTCTTTTAACTTGATGAAGAAGTGCACTTTGTCCTGAGCACGAGGAAAATGGGAACAGCGTGGGCTTGATGATGGCATCAGATAGCAAACCTGGACAAAAGAAGCTCATATCTAATCAATATGCAACTATGAACAGGAGCATTAAACTATCAACAAAGATAATCGTACCGTCTCCGTTTCTGGGACTTTGTAAGGCTGCAATCCGAACTCTAAGTTCTTAGCCTTTACTCCAAAAATCTCCTTGCAAAATATTTCATAAATACCTGAAATATCAAACGGGATTAACTTGCATCATAAATAAGAGTTTAGACTTAAATCGATAGCAAATCAATGACTTACATTTTCCATTGAACACAGCGATTAAAGGTCTGTATTTCTGGAGCTTTTCCAAAAGCTGGTGGCCACCTTCACGGATCTCTTTGCTGCAAACCAACACTCAAAATATTCACATGTATTCACATCAAGCATCTTCTTGGGACTAAACATCAAATTAGGACATGAAGCTGATTTTTTTAGGTGCAGTCACATTAGCGAAATGTCTGCAAAATTTCCATTGTTTCAAACTTTCCAAAAAGGTCCATTGTCTATTGTCAGTGGTGTATTAAAAAAATGAAGCTTTGTTCACACAGAAAATCACTTTCAAACTAAGCAGCTTGAACCTGTTACGTCCTCGCACAAAATGACTGAATTTCATCTGCGAAATTTGCAGAACAACCATTAATATAACCACACCTTTTACAGGGATAATGTAAATGTTAAGCTCTTACTTTGATAGTTCTTTACTCCCAGGTGTAGTCCTCTCCACCATATTGGTGAAACCAATGCCATACCGTTCAGGTAGTGTCTCATCGTGCATGTGGTTGAGCTGTTCATCAGTCAGCCCGGAAAGAAATAAGCACTTCCCTATGAGACATTCAACAAACAATAAGACAAACATAAATATATAAATATTCTTCACAAAAAAGAAATCAGCTGAATAATACATACAAAAATGGTTCCCAGGATTTGGATAATGCCTTCCCTTGTAGGCTGACAACAGTCCAGGATTGATGCCGATCTGTAAAATTAGCAATGACTTTATACAAACAAACCAACAGATAAATATAAATATATACAAATTTGCATTAAAATGTCATACAGTAAATATATATATAATAAATATTAATGATATCATTTATTCATATTTATTCATTTATATCAATATTAAAATTCATATCATTTATTAATATATAAATTTAAAAAAACTTGCTGACTACAAGTTTTATACAAAACAGAATCTTACAATCAGCATGTCAAGATTATGTGTGATGACGTCTGGCAGCTTTCTAGCCATGACCTCCTCCACGGACATCCCGTTGAACCGATTTAACATCCTCTTCGCTTTCTTGGCAGACTCTTCAGCTTCTGTCTTTTCCTTTCCTTCACCTTTTAGAGGCCTTCCCCTTTTCTTTCCTTTTGCTGGAGTCATTGGAAGGGCTGTAAACCAGATGTTTAATAAGTTGCAGAAACATCCCAGTTAGACGCACTGTGAGGATGGAAAAGGTTGTACCTGGTGGTTGGGCAGAGAGTTGCTGAGGCTGTTGAGGTTGTTCCAGATATGGATCTTGATGCACTGCTAAATCAGTCATGATTTTGTCCTCCACAGGTCTCTCTGCGTATTGGGCGGCATTAATCATCTGTTGGTGCTGCGGCACCTGCTCTGGCTGGTACTGCTGAGGATTGGTTTGGTACCTGAGAAAACAAAATTACAAAGACACTGCACTTACTTCAAAAGCTATGGTAATAATCTGATCTCCTTGTCAGTGTTCACACATTTAACATACATCTTCATATACCATTTTGAGAGCATTTGTTGCAATCACAGTATACAAATCTCTTTTATTTAAAACATTTAAGAAAGCAACTCTTTGGGGATCTTTTCGGGCTGGGCAAACTCACCAGTACTGAAGATAATCCATAGGGGCCGTCAGAGATGAATACTGCCTTTCTTCCATCTTAATTGGTGGTCTTACTTTAATAGATTAATATTCATGTTTATGTTACTGATATGCCAGCTGGTAAACCACACCTCCCTTTGTTTAATCTCTTCTTTTACATCTGTCCTATTATGCTTAGCTTATCAATTAAACGTCACAGGATAACATGACATACTAATTTTATCTAGAAACATACACATTTCAAAGACTATTCAACCTGTCGTGAGCAACACTGTGGTATGCAGCGAACTAGCTCATTACACTCAATAAGCTAAGAGCTGTTTGTGGACCACTGACCGAATACAAGCATTAAAATCACTCGTTTCGTCACATACAGGTATATTTCTCTGCGTTAGGATTATGAATCTTACCTGCCATACATATTCTTCAGACCTTTTCTGACACATACCAGTATTTAGTGCAGAAGAGTATGAGCTAAATGCTGCTACACATGATGAATGAAGCCGCTGTAGGTAAAAATGTCAACAAAGGTAAAGGCCAAGTTCAAAATAAAAGTCCCTAATTTAACGCATGATTGAACGATACAGTTACATAGTTTTTGGATTTAGCGCTTTTAATTTTATCTATTTATTACAGACAACTAGTAAAAAAAATATATAATTTTAAAACATTAAAACGAGATACCATTCGTGCCGAACTTGAATCCATACTTCTATACTTTTAACCTTTAGTTTTTATAATGGCTGATTTCACATGGTTGGACTCAACCATTATTACAAAAGGGAGGTCACGTTTTTCTCTTCATACATTTATATAAAACGCATTTTATGGTGTACAGAAAATTACCAGTGTTCAATTAAGTTTTATTATTGTTTGAGTTTTATCGGTTTCATTTCTTTCCATCAATTGCTTAGTGAAATTAGGGCAAACCATTCATTGTTGTGGTCCCTATGATAAAAGTGATTTACAGAGTTCCAAAGCGAACACGTGAGACATGTAACAAGAACTGCTGAATGTCGTGCGTGCAACGAAACCTGTAATGTTCTTTCGATTATAACCTGATTATAACATAACAAGGTTAATATATGCCTCTCCAGATTTGATCCTGCTTAATGTGGGAATTATAATACTGTTTTTATATAATGGCACATATGCTTCATTTGCCGCTACGTTTAAGATAGCTAGCAGTGATAAAATGACCTTATAGCAAAAAGTGATTAAACTGACTGATAAAATACTTATCTATGTCACATAAAATGCTTAAGTGTTTATTATTTATTTTTTTGAGTTGCATTTAAATAAGCTTTGATTGACCTATATGAAACTGTGTATTTAGACTAGCTGTGTTGATTTAAACATGAAAATAATAATGACTTTTTGTTATTATTGTCATTTTGATATAATTTTATGAATAATCTAATAATATTTGTTGTTGTTATTTCAAATAGTCATTAAATAATTTAATTGTTGGTAATGGGTTAACATTACCCAACATTTCCTTTCTATTTAAATATTAACAGAGCAATTAGAAGGGCAATTATAACTTTTTTCTTTCTTTAGGTACAAATTAATTTAATTTAATTGGCAGAACATTTGTCAGCCAGCTGGGTTTTAAGGATGCCAGCAGGTGTATCGTGGCCAAGATATCTACGGATGTTTGCAGCCAGTGTGTTGTCAATGTTTGCTGGAGCACAGGTTGTGCATCAGTATTACCGTCCTGATTTAGTAAGTTTCCAAATCAGATAGTGTGCTTTTTTTATTTGTTTAGGTGTTTGTGCAACCTAGATATTTAGCTGTAAATGTAAATTGCAATTTTCAACCCATTTTATTTCTGTAATTTAACTTTAGAGGTTTTATTTTTTTAATTTATTGATAGATCCATTGAATTACATGCACCAATGAATTGTTCTCAATAAGTCCAGAAATGTGCATTTTGAAAGCAAATTGGGTACATTTACAGTCATGTTGACTGTAAACATTAAGTACAGTATAAACAATGTTTTGTTTTTTTGTTTTTTCTTACATTATAGACCATTCCAGACGTCCCACCAAAGCCTGGAGAACTGCAAACAGAACTTCTTGGCTTGAAAGAAGGACAGACAGACTCTGCATCTCCGAAACAATGACCCATTGATTTGTTTTTCTTAACTAACGTGCAAAGCCTAACTGATGATACAAAATTAATTTTATTCTGTGAATAAAGCTATTTATACAAACGTGTAATGTATCTTAATTTGTCATATAAAATACTTTGTAACTCTACACTCTGTAACAGTTATTTATTTGTAAATTTTCAGTTTTTGCGTATTATAGCTTTATTCAGAATTTCTCTAACCAGATCTTTTATTACTTAATTTAAGGGGGAAAATAAATTAGATAATTATTAAAAATATAACTGTTCTCTGGGTTTTCATCTCTGAATTTTTTTAATAGTTGCTATTTTTGTTACTCTTGACTTTTATTATGAAAATACCTGTCAACGTGCAAACGGTAAGCGTGTGTATATTTGAGACTGTATTGTAGAGAATGTGTAGCTCCAGTAAAGGACATATTGAAGGATTGCTGGGAATATGGGAAAAATAAAATCAAAAGTTTTGGTTGGACAGCAACTAGAGATGCTACGATTTTGGGTATTACAGAAATCTCAGTCCCTCTTGTAATATCGAATATTCCTCCTTGGTTGCTTCCTATGCCTCAAGTAGATTTTCATCTACTATATATGTATGGAAAGCCGTTTTAACATTTAACCTATAAACCGCACTAGTAGCTAATTTAACATTACTAGTACTTATTTTTTAGATACTAGTATCTTTTCCATTAAGTACTAGTACTTATTAATTAACTACTAGTGCTTATTCTTTAGGTACTAGTGCTTATTCTTTAGGTACTAGTGTCTTTTGTAAAGTTACTAGTACTTATTCATTAGATACTAGTACTTAATCATTAGATACTAACATGCAAACTGCCAAACAAATAATGACACAAAGAGGAAAATAACGGTTAAAATAATGTGTCTTGTCGCATCCTGCCACTAGAGGTCACTCGTACAATGACCAATAAACACATAAGGCTACTATATAAAAAAAATCAGAGGTGGCCAAAGTAATCCACTGCGTCGTTCAGTGGATCAGATGTCGGGAGTAAGACAACTGCTATGTTCAATTATTTACATCCAACAACAAAGGCAGCGGCTATTTGCACTAAGTGAGATTTTACACTAAGTGAAAATAGCAGTATTTTTTGTGATATGCTATTTACACTAAGTGCAAATAGCTATAGATTATATTTTACACTGTTAAAATAGCAGGATTTTCTGCTGTTTTACTAATTGCAAATAGTGGCAATTATCTGCACCTTGGTATTGTAATACATTATAAAACAGTATGCAATAATAACTTATTGAGTGTAAATTTTAATTCAAATTATTAAATGGATTCCACCTTATTGGAACAAAAGCCCTCCCTACACCTACCCTAACCCTACCCGATACTTTATTTTCAACTTTTTGATTATTTACTTCATTTTTATTAAAAATAAATGCTTTTCTGATGTGATTTGAAATTTGAAAAGGGAGAAAAAAAAGTTCGCCAAAAGGCAGATTCGAAACCGGGTCGACCGCGTCAGAAGGAGCACAGTACATGCCTTACCATCTGCGCCACTGAAGTTAATAGTTTGTAGCCGTCTTTTGTAATGAAAAATAAAATACAATCACACATAGGTGGGTGGAGTTAGTGTAAATAGCCTCTGCCAACAAGGCGGGCTATTTGCACTTAGTGTAAATAGACACTCCGAACAAGAAAACACCGGTCATTTTGTTTTACTGACTGACTAACACTCCTTTATTGATCTCTTTATTGAATAATTACTTATAATTAATATATATTCGAGAGTAAATATTGTGATTTCAGAGAGATTTGACAAGTCTAATTGAAGAGAACATGATATTAACGGAGAAGTTTTTGTTTATGGACCAAAAGAGAGAGAAGCACATCATCTTAATTCAGTGGTAAGAAATGAATGTAATGTTATTCTAGTTAAAGTCAAATAAATGTTATTCATTTTAATGTCTGTAAAAATAAAATTCTCATTTTTAAAACCCAGTATGATTAGAAAGTAGAATTTAAATGTCATAATAATACTAGCGGTTGTTTTATTTATTTATGGAATTGGGTTTTGTTTTTGTTTGTTTTTTTGGGTTCCTTTTTCCCTCTTTCCCGTTAATGCTTCACACTCCAGTCCAGTTGGTGGCGGTAATACACCATAAGTTGGCTTGTCAACCACCATAAAATCGTACAAGAAGAAGAAGAAGAAGAATGTATAGCTGAACGCACTCGTCTGTCAAACAGAAGGCAGCTCTGGTGCGGGGAAATATGCCGACCTTGTCCTTGCCACTTTCAAACCTGCTTAGAAATAAGGAGAGTTTTAAGAGGCTGATCGCGCACTTTAAGTATTTGCACACTAGAAGAGGAATATGGACGGTCAACACCAGCTCGCCGTGGATCTCGAGCTCCCGGGGACCGAAATCTGCTCTCGTGTCCTGGAGACAGGTTCCTGTGGGACAGCTGACAGCAGGGGACATGTGCACCAGCTCCAGTGAGGACAAGACCAGCTGGCTCTGGTCTATTTACAATGAAACCAAACAGCAAACGCAAGGTTAGTTTAGATTCATGTTACAGAAATTCCTCTCAAGACGCTGGTCATCTGTCAAAGGGCAAGAAGGCACTTTGGATGTTGTATATTGACCATCCATGAATACTTTTTTCAGTTTTTTTGTCCTAGTATTAACCTACATTAGGCTGTATTATATTATATAGGCTCTAAGATTTTAGTTATTTATTAAAGTGATATGCTGATTACTCTATGTTGTGATTGGACATCATGCTGTTGTATGAATATAATACATTTATGTACTTGAGAACCAATTTTTTATAATACGTTTTTATTCACATCTATAATTGTTTGTAATACATTTGTGTACCTGCATAATAATATACAATTTTATAAAGAGAGAGCTGCCCGGACTATAAAATGAAGTCATTAGTACCAAATGTTATTATTATATTAACATACTATTGTAGTATTTATCAATATATTTAAAATTCTCTTTTTTTTAGTAATGTTTTATGGTTATCATTATATCTAAACGTCTATGTAGCTTGAATACATTTTTATTTCAGTTTCAAATTTTAGAATTTCAACTATGACTTATTTTATTTAGGTTGGATGCCAAGGAAGCTTTTTAATTAAATTTACATTTTCATTTAATATTTGTATTTTATTTTGTTTCAGCTTTATTTTAATATTTTTATTAATTTAATTAATAAAAATATTTTAAGTAGTTTTCATTTTAAGTTAACAATAATACTGGCCATTACATGAAAACCATGCAGGAATATTCACATACAAAGATTTACTTTTCATAATTAATGTCTCACTACAGGTTCATCAGTAATCATTTTAGTTCCGTTTTCAATTCAATTTTCAATTCAATTCAAGTTTATTTGTATAGCGCTTTTCACGATACAAATTGTTGCAAAGCAACTTTACAGCAAATTAAGTTTCTAAGATATTTAGGTAGTATAATTAGAACTTAAAGGGTCAATTATTTATTAACACACAAATGTTTTTTCCCCCACAGATTTAATTCCTGTCATATCAAACAACTTCGTGAACCCAGACACCATCTTTGCTAATAATCAGATGAGTCTGCAGGACATTGAGATCTATGGCTTTGACTATGATTACACACTGGCATTCTACTCCAGTCACCTTCACACACTCATATTCAACATCGCCCGAGACATCCTCATCGATGAGCACAGGGTGAGTGACCCAAGACCTCATTTATGTATATATAATATTGTAAGAATGATGAAATCCATCAAAAGTGGCACAGAAATTACACCCTTAAAACCAGGATATTTTTAGTTTCAGCAAATTAATGTTTTCTGAATATCTTGTCTCTTTCTGTCCCCATAACAGTATCCCGAGGGACTGAAGGAATATGATTATATGCCGAATTTTGTGATTCGTGGTCTGCACTATGATGTACAGAAGGTAGGTGTCCAGTCCTGATCTACTGTAGATGCATTTTTCATGGGTTTTGGCTAACCTGTCAATCTCCTCTGCTTACTAGGCCTTACTGATGAAGATTGATGCCTTTCATTATATCCAGCTGGGTACAGTGTACAGGTAGAGTGCAACAAACAATCTACAATAATATTTTTTACTATTTTATGCATTATTATTAATATCAGGAAGGATATGTTCTCTTATTGTCATTTGAATGTTTCTATAGGGGTCTTAATCCTGTGCCAGAAAAGGAGGTCATTGCGATGTACGAGGGCTCCCATGTACCCCTCGAGATCATGAGTGACTTCTATGGCAAGGTCTCTAAGCTTGAAGTCTTTTGCTTGTCAAGAGTTTTGTTTGAGAGCCTAAAAATGTGGTCACATTAGCAACATTTTGACAACATTTAGCATGAAAAATAGTGTAGCGATGTAAGAAGCACAGCTCACACAGAAGTCACTTTCAAATCGAGCAGCTTTCTGTTGGTCAACGGAGTGAATTGGCATGACCAACTTGAATGCATTACGAAATCTGCTTGGACAAATCTTTTGCCTTAATGTGAAATTCACAATTGCATGCATTCCTATTGAAATGACTGGATTTCGCCATGAAAATTTGCTGAACATCAGTAAATGTGACCACCCTTAAAACAGCTTTTTCAATCTGTCCGTATAGAGCTCTCACGGTCACACCATGAAGCAGTTCATGGATATCTTCTCCCTGCCAGAAATGACGCTGCTATCATGCGTTAATGACTACTTCTTGAAGCACAACATCGACTATGAGCCTGTTCATCTTTATAAAGACGTCAAGGTACAGTTGTTCCTCCAAGCGTGTTATGTGTCAGAGCAGAACTCACCTTATGATTCAAAAATCAAGATTACCTTCACCAATATCAGTTTCTACGGAAACCGAATGCTGTTGTATTTAGGGTACCACAGATGTCAGAAAGCACAGGATCCCTTGAGCTCACATTTTGGATAAATATGGCTCCTGAAGGTGCTATTTAAGTTCGTAGTGAGCGGCATGGAAAGGAACGGTCTAATTTTAGAGGAACTGTTTGGATGCGCCATCTGTGCTACGTGCCTGGAGAGAAGCAGGGTTACAGATGGTCAAATG